AAAATATTACATAAACACATATATATAAAATGCATGTATTTAAAATGTGCCACTGGCCATACCGATGTTAAGAGAGCATGCATGCACATGTCAATAGAGTTGTAAAAGACGGTTTGAAATACTCACTGTTGTCTCTATATGTTTCAGTGGGAGGTCATTGCTGGGGGCCTGTGGTGAAACAAACAGACAAGAAAGCAAGCAGTTAATACACTGACAAGCATAAATGACTGAAAAGGCTTCAGGAAGTCTGCTTTCCTGGCACATTATATGTCAGTAGGACACCTGAAAAATCACTCACTAATGTAATGATGCAGTCTTCAAATAATCTTAAGAGCAAAAAGTGTATTAAAAAATCACTATATTACTAATCATGCAATGTTATATTAACGCAAATAAACTACTCATAACTCAATGAACAAGCAAAAGTATAAACAGCATGTTTCTACCAATGCCAAGGTCATGGGTTCAATTCCCAGGAAATGCATGAACCGATATATCGATACAATCATCTGTCAAATGCATAAATGTAAATGCAAAGTGTACACTATTGGTTAGGTAATTCTGTCATGCACTGATCAACCGGCATCAAAGAGTGAAAGAAAAGACATGAGCTGGCTCCAGTGTGTAGGTGCATCACTAAACAGCCTAGGTAAATATTTAGACAAGAGCGCATAGCTCCAGCGTCACTGTGAATCTGCCTGGTGGCCGAGAAGCACCATATACAGAAGTTTAGCACAGGATCCACAGCACAGTTTATTCCCCCGTCAATTCCGAGCCAGAGAAAGGCATTTATTTATGAGGCCTCTGGCCCCCAGGAATCTCTGATGTCATTGGCCAGCTTGAGTCTGGCTAGCCTCAGAATACCCATGTAAGTCTGAGATGGCACAAGAACACAAGAAATCACCATGAGGAGACGGCAAGACATGGCAAGACAGCATTGAGATCGCTATGTCCCGCTTTACTTTTCCAGTATCAGGCAACTCTGCGGTTCTTCGAACTACCGCTGAACTTGATGGCAAGGATGAAGTCGTCAGGAGATATAATGTGTATAAAAGATGTCAGTGGCATCCAGGGAATCAATCAAAAACTACAGAAAACCTTAAAAAGGTGACTGAAAAGGAAAAGTTTAAATTATATATACAGTGGGTACGGAAAGTATTCAGACCCCCTTCAATTTTTCACTCTTTGTTATATTGCAGCCCAAAATGCAGATTTTAAATTATTTCATTTATTAAGGGAAAAAAGCTCTCCAAACCTACCTGGCCCTACGTGAAAAATTAATTGCCCCCTCCTGTTAAATCATGAAAGAACTGAGATTCACATAAAAAATAAAATAACATTTCATTTAATTATAAAATATTATACAATATAAATTAAAACATATTTTTTATTAATCATTTTACATTAATAATATTTTTGTTTATTTAAATACACACATATACGCATGTCATATATAAGATAAATACATAAATTAAAAAGTATCCATTTAAAATTAAATTAATGTGATTTGATTAGAGTAATGGCTGCTGAATTAATTTTTTTTTTTGTTGTTGTTTTAAATACAGGGATATATATTAAAATAGAAAACAGTTATTTTAAATTATTACTGTTTATTTATTTGTTTGTTTTTTATCAAATAAATGTTGCCTTGGTGACTACGTAAGACTTCTTTCAAAAAAAGTTTAAAAATCATAATCATTCCAAACTATGGACTGGCAGTGTATTTAAAAGCATTTATTACAAAAAAAAAAAAAAAAAAAAAAAAAAACATTCTGCTTTTTGTGATATAATGCATAAAAAAGATGTGACCGGCATCCTGGGAATTGTTCAAAACCTAAAGGAGATTCAAAACAGCCTCCGCTGAAAGGCGAAACCTCAGGCTTTTGAGGTCTGAGTGGTCAATGATGTAATGTGAATCATCAAATCTCTGTGTTCCGCAAGAGACCCTACATGTCTGTCTCAAATCCTGAGAAAAAAAAAAGTATGTCTTCCAAGAGTAATAAAGCTGGAGGGAAATTATACCCCAGCTGTAGAGTTTGCACTACTGCAGCCCCCAAAACGGCCTCCCAGAGCTGAGGCTCGACCGCTAACTAGAGCGCATCCGATCCGCCGACACCGAGCGAGAACGCTTGGCAACCTCAACTTTCTGCGTGCTTCCGAGAGCCTCGTTATGTCTATCTAGCATGACCACCACCAAACCCATTATGGTTCTCGCCAGTCACACAAACACGTCAGTCCATTAGATACAGTACAACCGCTGGCGGAACAACACAGAGCAGAAAGGTCATCATCTAGGTCACCTATCTCTGTTGTCTGTCTCCTTTGCCAAGAAGTCCCATACAGCAGTTTTTACAACCACATCTGAGGGAAAGCAGAGATTTCAGAAGAAGTTAACAACACACAATCCAAGCCACAGGTACAACGATTTCATGGATAAACTCTCCTCAGCAACAACATCATCTAGTTTCAGCCGCGTCTGGGAGTGTGCTGGGATTCGAATGTAAAGATGGGGTCGGCTGAGAACTGTGTGCAGATCAGACGCATTATAATAGAGCCGCTGGGAAACCTTTTCTTCCCCACTGTTCCAAATGCTAAACCTTAACACATTTTGTAAAATCTGACACTCTCTCTCATCTCACTTCAGCGCCGCTCAGTATTTTGTAAACTCTTCTCCTCCACAGCTTTCTACGACTTTTGGTGTTTACTTCTATCTTTCTTTGATCCTTGACTCTACTTTTTTCAGAATCGGCCAGAAGTGGACGTGAAAAGGAAAAGATCTGAGCCTGCGATCATGTGAAGGTACATTCGAGTGAATTTTGCATTGCATCAGAGACACCAGTATTTTTGTCCTTTTCACGAAAGACTACGAAAAGACTTTCAGACTTGACTTTTTAGATCTGCTCTTATTCAGCTGTGTTATCATTAAAGGGGTCATATGATGCGATTTCAAGTTTTCCTTTCTCTTTGGACTGTTACAAGCTGTACGTGAATAGAAAAGATCCCTAAGTCTCAAACCCAAAGAGATATTCTTTATAAAAGTTAAGACTCGTCCACGTCCTCCT